GCTAGCGGTCGCTCCGACAGAGCGCGGTAGTCCTCAAGGTGAGGCAGCCGGCGATCGACGTGCTTCAAATCGTCCAGAGCGTCCGCACAGCGATATGCTACTTCAGCATGACGTTCAGCGGAGCTCCAAACACGAAGGACCATGCACTCAAGGGCTCGAAGAGCATCACGAGTCACCGGACGGCGGCCGACCCGGTCGTCACCAGGGTCAAACCCCATATCTGGTGTAGTGGCGGGGATATCCCAATTCCGACAACTCGTGGGAGTTTGAGGCGCCACTTCGGCAAGATTGCCCAGTCGCGGTGGACGCTTTTGATCGGAAAGATCAGGACGTTCCGTGTCATCAGTCGCCCCGCGCTTACCGGCAATAGCTAGGGAAGAAGAGGGCCATGAGCTGAGCTCAAGCAGTGGTCCTGAGCTCTTGCAGTCGTAGACACAGAGCGCGCGGGAGCGTTAAGGTTAGCCCATACGTCGCAGGGCGACAATCCGAAGGAAATCGACGGCGTGCCTTGAGTTTGGCAAACTCAAATCGGAGGTGTCGCTCCACACGCACGTCCACTTTCTTGTGGCTCAACTGTAGGTTATACAGTGAGGAAAGCTTCCGGTGCCGTTGCGCCCATCGCTCAATGAGCGCTTCGTCATCTGTAGCGCTTTCGCCAGGGACAAGCACTACAGATATTGTCCGCATTGCGGGTACACGAGAGCCACCTCCTTGAGCACTCAGACGAGTGCGATAAGCTTTTAACGGAATTTTTCTTGTGGAACCAAGAAACGAGCTCGAAGAGCTTTCTGTTTAGCAAGCTCATCTTCCGTTCTGGTCGGGGGCTCGATGATGTGGGCGCGTAGCGATCGAGTTACTGCGTCCTTCACTTCCACAGCGGGACCCGCTGGGCAGAAGCCATATTCCACACGAGGGTCAATGACCGGCCGTGGATGGGCACGCTTCAAAGCCGCCTTATGGGCAGCCTCCAGCTGCCGCCTCTTAGCCCCGTGGTGATGACACCACGCCCCTCGGTTGACGAGAAGTCAGGGAACAGACATGGGGTCCGCAAGGCGCGAGCAGGGCTCGT